CGGCCCCGGGCGCTGCCGTCGGCTCCTGGGGGGCTGCCCCCCGCCGTGCCGCCCCGGTGCCTGTCACCACCGCCGCCCGCCGCCGGGCTGCCCTCTGCCACAGCGTCCCGGTCCCGGACGCCACCGCTGCCGCCGGGCCCGGAGATGCCGCCTCCCTACAGGTTGCCTCAGCCCCGACCTCCGCCGCAGCCCGCGACCGGGATGCCCTTGCAGGAGGCCCCACGGCCCTCAGCAAGCCCAGGGAGACGACCTCCCGCCGGAGCTATCCAGTCCCCGCTGCTGTCATCGGGCCCCAGGGCGCTGCCCCCCTCCGAGCTGCCCCCATCCCGGTCTCTGCCGTTGCTGTCCCCCCCCGAGCTGCCCCCATCCCGATCCTTGCCGCTGCTGTCCGCCCCGGAGGTGCTGCCCCTGTCCCGGTCCCTGCAGGCACTCCCTGCCAGCCCCTCCTCGTCGCCACGGCTGTTACCAGGCCCCAAGGCGCTCGCTTCCAGCAGGCTGCCCCCATCGCAGTCCAGGTCCCTGCAGCAGCTCCCCACCAGGCCATCCCCAGACTTGCCCAGGGGATCCAGGGGGCTGACCCCCAAGGGACAAACCCAACCTCAAGTCCTGCGGCTGCACCCGCGTCAAAGCCTGACACTGCCGTCAGATCCCGGGATCCTGCCCCCCACCAAGTCCCCCCCACCCCAATCCCTGCCACAATCCGCCACTCTCCCATTCCCACCCCGCTCCCTGCAGCCTCCCCTTGCCAGGTCACCCCCATCCCAGTCCTTGCTGCCGGCGCAGGGCCCCGCAGTGCCCCAAGCCCCAGAGAGCCAGCCCCCAGCACCGCTGCCTGTTTTCCGGAGCATCAGGTGCCAGCTGGCTTTGTCGGAGGGGCAGGGCACCCCCCCATCACTGCCCGATGACGGTGGGCGGCAGCCCCGCTCCAAGAGCTCCCCCAGGAACGCCTCAAGCCGGGGACCCTTGGTGCCGCTGGGACAGCGGGAGCACGCCTGGCTTGTGGCCATGTCAGCGGGCCGCTGGGCTCAGGTGCGGGGGCTCTTTCTGGAAGAGCCTGAGCTGGCCCTGCAGAGGGACTTCATATCAGGCTTCACGGTCCTTCACTGGCTGGCCAAGCACGGCGACGGGCCGGGCCTGCAGGAGCTGGCAGCGGCGGCGCGGCAGGTCGGGCTGGCCCTGGACGTGGACGCCCGCTCGGGCTGCGGGTACACGCCGCTGCACCTGGCTGCCATACACGGCCACCAGCTTGTCATCAAGGTGCTGGTGCTGCAGCTGGGCTGCCAGGTGCAGGTGCGGGACGGCAGTGGGCGCCGGCCGTGGGAATACCTGGGCAGCTCCACCTCGGGGGAGATCTGGCAGCTGCTGGAGGCACCCCGCGGCACTATCATGTTCCCCACGCAGCCCCTGGCCCGCAGCGTGTCCTCTGTCAGCAAGGTCTCGCCGTCCAGCGGCAGGACAGCACTGCCTGCCTGCCTCAGGGTACAGCTGGGCCGTGGGACAGTGTCCCACCAGTCCGGCAGTGACAGTGACTGACACAGCTCCCCGGCATCCCCTGCCAGCAGGGATGGGACCTCGCTGGCCACCCTGCGAGAGGAAGCCACACAGGCAGAGCAAAAGCTGTGAAACAGACTGAACCTGTTGAAGAATGTACTTTTAAATTATTCCAATGAACTGTTGTCCGAGCCTCTCTCTGTCCTCCCTCCCATTTCTTGCCTTTCTACCGGTGCAAGGATGCAGTAACTCTGCTGGAAGCAGGAAGAACGCTCGGGAGGCAAGTCCTCTGCAGCTCACAGGGCCAGTACCAGCTGCTGGGCGCTGCCACGATCACCAGCATTAGTGGGACCATGGCTTTGGGGTAAGGCTCAAGTCTGGCCCAAATCGGGGTAGAGCACTTGATTTTGCTGACAGCGACAGATTGTTGTTGGTCCTGGGGTTTGCAAAACACTTGTTTACACCACCTAAATTCTGGGGAGCAGTAAAACTACATCCCTTTTTAATCCCAGCAGATTAAGGATGAGTTCCTCTTTTAAAAATGCAGCTGATCAAGATCCAGCCTCCCGGCGAGAGTCCACAAAGAGCGCCTGGCTGTGGCAGAGGGCGGCAGCGGGAGAGCCCCGGTAGGGAAGGGCGTTTCCCAGGCCACCTTGCCCACCAGCCCATGCTGAAAGGAATGCAGGGCAGCACCACAGCCCTGCTCTCCAGCAGTATCCCTGCTGCTCCCTCATTCCTGCACCTCCAGTTGCTCTCCTCACACCACAGGATTAGGAAGTGGTACCCGTGTTGTGGCTAGGTTCCCACGCCTCAGGAAGGAAAACATTGCGGCAGGATTCTGTGTTGGGCAGAAACGAAGCTGTGCTGTAGTACGGGTCCCAGCCTTGCAGAGGGAAGGCAGTTTCATAACCAGAGCTGCCTTTTCCCAGAGACACCAGCCCTAGATTGCCTGTTAGGTGTTTGTGTGATGGGGACAGGTGGGATTGAGGGGCCAAGTGCAGTCAAGAGATGTCCAGTGGAGTAATTTGTCGGAGTTTTTATAAAACAAACTGCCCTTACGAATCTCACTGGGCTGCGTGGGTCCTTTAATGTATTCTGCTCTCTGATTTAGCACAAATGAGCTCCTAAAGTGCCAAAAATTGCAACAAGTTAATCTGGCACCTAATCTGTCTCTCCTATAGATCCTCAGTGGAGGTAGGAAGAGAGAGAAGATACATGAGACGGGGATCCAGTGCGGCCAGGCTGCTGCTGCTGGGTGACCCCAGGTGTAGGACCAGTGAAACTGGGACTGCTGTCTCAGCCTCAGTGAGAGGCTTTGGGGCAGACCAGAGCCATAGGTGGGACCGCTCACCCATTTGAGGCATGTGTGTGAAGGCCTGCAGTTTCGGGGAGGAACAGGAACGAGGGCAGCAGAACCTGACCCTTGCATAACACGCGTGCCAGGGAATGCCTCGAGTCCTTGCTCAAGCACTAATTGAGGTCTCCACTTTGCTTGGGGTTTATTTGAGGGAGGAACTCTTTCCTGCAGAGGGGAAGCTGTTCTGCCTGACTCTTGGGCCACCAAAAGTTGCAGCCTTCTCCCAGCCTGTTTTTTTCCTTTTACAGAGGAAAGAGTTGAGTAAACCAAAGCAGTGTCCTGTCAGTGATCATTCCCCTATGAGGACAACAACACAAACCTGAATTCATAAGAAATTCAGCTGTGAAGTGGCCTCTGAGCTACCAGTATGAGAACATGGAGGGCCCTCCAGGACCCTCCCCACAACAGGAGGAATCCTGTGTATTCCCTTTCCCCTTCAGTCCAGCTGGGGTTTATAGTCTAGGTCACATCAACACATCAAGTGGCCGCAGCCTGCTAAAACAATGAAGCCTTTTCCACCACATTTAGAGCCATTGTCATTATTCACACCGTGCACCAAGCTCTCTCGGGAAAGGGCTCCCCAAAGCTTGCCATAATCCTTGGCTACAAGCTCCTAGAGAGCATCCCCTCTGACAGGGAATGTCAGGGATGCCACCAGAGCCTCCCTGCTCAGGGAGCTTCTCAGAAGGAAACCCCAAATGAAAGAAGTTTGTGAAATGACTAAAGCTGGAGGGGGTGGAGGGGGAAGCAGATTTTTTCTCCAGAGAGAGCTTCCAAAGAACAAGGTTTTCCCCTTTGTATCCTCCATGCTGCTAAGACAGTGCTACCTTGGGATTCTCGTCTTACAGCCTTTCTCTGACCTTTCTCCGTGACGCAAACCTAAGTGGCACTTTTTTCTCCCCTGCACAGTGTTTCAGACCTCACCTGTCATCTTTTTCAGAGCCCTTTTCTCTCACTAGCAGTGTTGTCAGACCGCTGAACTAAGTAACTTGTGACCTAATTTTGTGATCTCTGTTTGCTTGCCTATTGAGATGACACAGATAAGATGGTTTCCCCAATTTTTAAATTACAGAGCAACTGTTAGGAAGCTTAGAACTTTCCATTCTGGATTCAGTGTGCATTCACTGTGGTTTATCACCTTAGTGATATCAGGACTGCTTACATTGCTAATATTGCACAGCTCCTACACCACAGAGTTACCTGGGGGAATAACCACTCTTGTAATTCCTACAAAGCCTCATCCTCCCAAGTTTTCTGCTGGTGAAATAAGCAGTGGACAGGGTGAAACCCATCTCGAGCCTATGGTGGGAGGCAGGCTTCCCTCAGCCATGCCTGGAGGAATCACACTCCTGGTGCATCACAGGTCCAGTCAGCCAGGAGTAATCCACCACTGGATACACACACATTCAGCCTGAGCATTTCCGTTTCCAGGTTCTCCTGATCTCTTTGCTACTCACTTGTCAGCCTGCCTGGCCCCTTCCACACCTGTGCAACGCTGCTGTTTCCTCATTGCAGCTGGATGTGCCTCCTTGCCTCACACCCAGTCCAGGCATCTGACTTTGTACCGCCCTGAAACACAGGACACGCCATGGATTAATGCACGGCAGGACTCTGCCCTCTCCTCTCGCTGCATTTAAAACACACCTCCCACTTTGGCGCTGCTACTGATAAAGTCCACCCCTCCTCTCTGTCATGCTTATCTCTGATCAGCTGCTTTGTACTCCGAAGCCCACGACCTGCAGAAGGGGGAGGGTGTTTCCATGCCTTGGCCTTTGCCCAGCACAGGCTGTCAAACCTGAGCACTCGGAGCCTTAGGAAGCTCTGGCAAAGCTAATCCCTCTCCCTGCTCCCGGGGCACACACCTTCACACCCCCTCATCTGATGGCTCAGAGCAGGCAGCACAGCACAGCTCCGTGTCCATTTGCATTTACGCCTCTGGATGTGGACCCAAGGCTGGAGCAATAGTGGGAGCCCAGCACAAACAACCCGAGAGGCTTTTGTGCAATTAAAAAAGCGTTCCTGGGAAAAGTGGGTGAGCAAGAGCACAGAACACTGCAAACCAAACTAATGGCCAGGGAACCCTTTATATCACAGCACTTTATGAAGCAGAGACAAACAGAACTTTTAGAATTAAAAAAAAAAAAAAGAATTGAAGAGTCCATCGCACAAAATACACTTTTTTACCTACTGAGACAAATGTAATTTTTAAAATTAAAATGAAATAGTTTCTATACAACTCCACAGTGAGAAGAAAGTCTTGCACACTTTTAGCAAATAATGAAACAATCCCAATTGCTCCTAAATCCTGTTAAAGCTAGAATTTCCCCTGACTATGTTTACTACAAGTAGCACCAGATGATAGGTTAGCAGAGTGGGCTTTAGAATTGAACCTCCCCCCAGTTAACAGTATAGCCTGAATTTCCCCAGTAAATGAGAACTGTTAGCCTTTCAGGGAAAAACAAATATTGTCTTTGGAAGCTCAGTCACACTGGAAAGCACTAAAAGGAGAATTCTTAGTTTAGTTAAATTAATACCCCTCATCCCCATCATGAGTCTATTTAAGCACAAAATATGTGTTTTACCATTAATTAAAATAAATATCCTTTAGGATACCAAGAGAAGCTTGGTACAGAAGCACTACTGTGTTAAATACCTAACTGAGCACATTGTGCAGTACTTGTCTGTGAAGACACAGATGGGTGATCTTGGAGGTTGGCTTTTTCCTTAGAGCTGTTAATTCGACCTAGTGGAGCAAAATACTTTTTGGATGGTTTAAATAAGCCTAAGGCTCATGGTATTTTAAATCTGGATTGGATTTCAGCAAAGGTACTTAAGCTCCTCATATCTATCAAGACTTCCTTACTGTACAGCCTGACATAAAATAAAAGCAACCCAAAAGTTTGTGAAAATATATCTTCACACTGCTCTTAAGATTTTTTAGCTCCGATGGCACTGGAGGAAAGCACAAAACTGCTCATGGCAGATGGGTTTGATAAAGATTTTGGGTGCTTTTGTTGCTATGTGACAGCTTTTCACAGGCAGCCATGCCCTATGTGCTCAAAAGCCACAAGCTGTTTAAAATTAATTGTTTTAGAAGTCCCAGTTTCTGTTGTGAAGGAAACACCCACCAAAACTATCGGCAAGGTCCTCCACACAAGCTTCTCTGTCTGTGTGGACTGGCCTCAGATTGCATTTCTAACGCTGCCACGGCAAGCAAGGACCAAAACCCTTCAAGATGCATCCCAGCCGCTTCCCCCTTGCTGCAGGGCCTCTGTAAAGAGAGCTCTTGGTTTAAATATTTTCTTTTGGCCTTCCTGAGTCACAGCTCTAGAGTGAAGGAATGTTCTGATGAATTTGATACCAGAAGAGGTATTTCTTAGACTTTAATGAAGTCCAGAATATTTCAGTGGAAGTGGGAATTAGAAGAATTTGACTTGGTGCGTGTCGCAGACCTGGAGTCCCCATCGTAATTCCGCAGGGAACAAATAGCTTTGCACAGCCAAGCACAGGGCAGGTGTTATTGCAGGCTGTCCAAAGTCCATGTGGGAGGTGCATGCCACTGGTAAACAGCAGAGAATGCGTAAGGGAAGTGGGAAGGGCTTGAGTCTCACTTTGACAGAGGACAAGAAGTACTTCCCAGGCCTTAATGGGGAGTGTTGTGGATACAGGGATGCAGAGCTGCGCT